GGCCACTCCACAGTTGAACAGGGAGACGCATCCTCCCGCCCCCTTGCCAGAGTGACCGGGTGAGCAGGGAGGTGGGGTTGCGTCAGCCAGGCTGTTGCCACGATTGGGGCACAGAGGGTGACACCCTCAGTCATGCACACTGTGCAGTAAGTGGTCCGGCAGGTTCTAGGGGTGGGTGGTAATCGAGCTGGCCACCTGTGCCAGTGTATACAAATAAGTCCCCATCCAGAGTTGTTTGTATCTTTGGAGCACTGATTCTCAACTTTCTCCAAGAAAATGGGCTGGAACTTCACCAATTCAAGACTCATGTTGTAAAATTGATGATTTCATAAGGCCATTTTGAAGTACTGCATTAGACAATGGAGCTACACTGCTGTGAGAATGACTCACCTTTCCTGGAGCATGGGACCTAGATTTTCCCCTCCCCACATTTACAGACCCTGTGACTTATCAATTCCTCATTAAGAGTGTAGTTCCATACATGTAACTCTGAAGGAGGAAGTTTTATTAAGTTCAACAGGATTTCATCCCAGGTCTGTATAGAGTTGCAACTAAACACCATATTTAGGAGGCTTTCTAGGATACAATACTATGTTTATTTGCCTTTCCTTGAAGTACACAGCTGTGCTCGCTCACTTGAGTCACCAATAACTGTTTTTCAATTGGATTTGTAAGGAGGTGTCTCTGTGTTTTGTTATCAACTCAGGGTCAAGGTTAAAGGTTGAGTGGACTAAATGAGCTGCCAGAAGCAGAAGGCAGGTTCATCCATCCACTCCTATGATCCTACAAGTGAATTATCATGACACATTAGAAAAATATTTATTATGTAAACAAGAACAAGAGGAGAGTACTTGTTGAATTTTGTGGGTATAGGAGATTATTGATCAGCTACGCTGTGGTGGGATATTTATACACTGGCTGAAATCCTGTTGTAAGTCGCAGCTAGAGTAGGCCCATAGAATCAGTGGAGATTTACTAAGTCAACTCTTCCATTGATTGCAGTGAGCCTGCTCTAGTTACGACTTGCTACACTGAACAGTTTTCAGAATCGCTCAACTGGTATGGCCACTGCTGAGGAATTCTGGGATTTTTAGTCTGAAAAAAGATAGTGGAGTGGCAGATAAAGTTTATTAGTGTCTTTTTTCAGTGCTTGTGGTAAGCACCTCTCTGTGACTGAAGTTACAGCAGCTGCATTCTACTCCTTTAATACCTGAACCTCTCCTGCTTGTCTCTGAATTGCAAGCTGCTACTGCCATGAAAAGGAACAGAACTTGGAGCTGCTCATTGTTAAGCTTGACCCAGGCACTATCCATGGAAGCTGATTTTGTCCAGCAGCTGCCAGTTGCTGATCTTTTGCTGGGAAACGTTTCTCAGGCCTGATTGTTCAACTCTCCAAATATGGTATCAACCAAGATGAGCAATAGCTCCTAACAGATAGATACACTGGCAATGGAATGCATAAATCTTTTGGATGACAATGAAGCCATGACTGCAAATGCAAAGCAAAAATGTATTAAGGTAAAAAATAAAGATCTGAAATGTGAAACTTTCCATGTGAAACATCATCTTCAGTCACAAGCCTCTTATGCCAGAACACTTTACATTTTAGAATGTGTTTGTGTTTTCTCCCATAAAACTTTTGTTGTGCATTTCCTGGTTGTGGTTTTGTTGTAACCCAAAAGACTGAATGGTATTCTTTGTTTTTGTGAGAAAGAAATAAGTCTGCATTTTATGGGGACAGCTTGTGTAAGAAAAGGGTTCTTTCACTAGCATAGCTGGCACCAATGGCTGATACCTGGAAATCATATATCATCATTATATAAATATGACAAGGATCCCTTGAATCCTTTGGGGGGGGGAAAGCACCATATATATATCATATATATGGTGCTTCCCCCCCCAAGGATCCAAGGTGTCTTAGAGTATTAAAAGAAACAAAGCTAAAAGCCTAATAATAAATTATTACAATATTTAAAAAGCATTAAACAAATACATTAAGAACAATAGTAAAATTTTGTTCTCATCAGTCCTCACCAGTTGTCTTTGCTGAATCTCTGAAGGAGAGATGGTGCCACTACCTTTGATGCAACTTAGGTTGACCTCCTCAGGCCCCATTATGTTAAATCCAGGCGGTTGTGACAGTGGACTGCAACTGACTAGTGCTAGCAGTGCGCATGCAGGGGCTAGCTTTGCTCATTTTGTTTTACTATGTTTAATTATTATTTATTGATTTTGTTTTGATGTGCATGGTTATTATTTATTCTTAATTATTATTTATTATTGGTATTATTGAATATTATTATGTAATTATTCAATGACGACACTAGAAGTATCCTATCCTGTGTTGAATTGTTCCTGTCTTATTTTGGTTCATTAAATGTTTCTAAAATATGTCTCCCCTAATTTTGACAAGCTGGTGCTTATAAAGAGCTGCTTTAGGCAGAGGCTGCTGTGGAAAAAGCAGCATATAAACAAATTAATCAGTAAATTGGTCTGTTACAGTAATGATGAAAATATCTAAAACAAAGCAAAGTGTGTTGCTTATACTGTATACTGCTTCATAGTGCTTAAAGTAGTCTCTGAGCAGTTTACAATGTAATTAAGCTGACTACATATTCCCCATTCCACCCCAGCAAGCTGGGTACCCAGTGTACCAACCTTGGAAGGATAGAAGACTGAGTCAAAATTG